GTATTAGTTACCACAAATTTTCTTTGCAGTATTCAAAACCCATCCAATATTCCAATTCCCACTATCTGCAGGCCGCCATCATTCATCATTGGGCCATAAAGGAATAATAATAATTTTGTATTTTATGTATCTTTGTTATTTGTTCTTATTGGGCTATCCTGTAACCGTTAACCGTCTTAACGGTTTTCAAGAGCGCAAACCAATCTCCCAATACTCTATATACATTCGACCCTCAAGTCCCACTTCTTTCCCTCCCACCTCATTTTTTCAATTCGCAGTAACCATTTCCGATCGTTTAGTTTCTTCTTCAAAATTTTCTATCAAGAAAGTGAAACGAATCAAGCCAAGAAACTCCAAGAAAGAAAAGAAAAGCAACAAGAACATTGATCAGGAGCTCAAGGAAAATGGCAACTTCAAGTGATCCCCCGTCAGAGAAGGAAAGCCCATACATCCTTCCTACCACTGTAGGCATTCCTGAAGAGCAATCTCTGAGACACATAATCCATACAGCGTTCCCAAATGGGATGCCTGAAGATTTCATAGCCATCATTATGCGAGACATTCTGGCTGGTCTCGCTTATCTCCATGTTTCCTTGTTTATTGGTCATAATGCCGTTAATTCCAGTAACATCTGTGTAGATACTAAGAAAGTTCTCAGCACCATTAAGCTTGCTTTTGATCCAGTGAAGCACTTTGTGCATCCTGGACCTGCATGGGAAGAAGGTAGATATCCCAATGACGGGATACGGGGTTTGGGGATTACTGCTTTGGAGATGGGCTTTGGTTCTTTACCGAGAAATTGCACTGGGAATGCGGATTTGGTTTCTTTGGCCAACAATATGATCAGGATTCTGAAGCTGAAATTGGGCTATCCTGATGAGCAAGAAGAAGAGAAGGCCGAGAATAAAGGGAAGGAAAAATTGGTAATTGATGACGATCAGGAAGTGAAAGAGAAGGCAATGCAGAAAGCAGAGGGAAAGTTGGTGATTCTTGATGATCAGGAAATGAAAGAAAAGGCCATGCAGAAAGAAAAGGAAAAATTGGAATTTGCTGATGATCAGGAAATGAAAGAAAAGGCCATGCAGAAAGGAAAGGAAAAAGTGGAACTTGCTGATGATCAGGAAATGAAAGCAAAGGCCAAGCAGAAAGGGAAGGAAAAATTGGAAGTTTCTGATGATCAAGAATTAAAAGAAAAAGCCAAGCAGAAAGGGAAGGAAAAATTGGAAGTTTCTGATGAAGAACTCAAGAACTCAACGATCAAATTGCCTGCACTGGAGAAGCTGCTGAACATTAGTTCTGTTGAGAGCCCGGAGAAAAAATTAATAAAGCAACAGGAAGGTCAGCAGCAGAAGAAGAAAGCTATGGCAGCGCTGGCACAAAAATTCAAGAAGGCTATGAAGTTCTTTCGCAAGAATAAGAACAAATTGAACAATAATGCTGATGAGAGAGAATTCTCAAGGGATTTCTTGGAAGTGGTGTTGCTGTGCCTCGAAGAACAAAAGCTGACTACAGCGAAGCAGATTCTGGAGCATCCCTTTTTCCAGAAGCCCGTTAATCTGCAAAAATTTGAGCGCAGCATGAGGTTGCGTAATTTCCATTGATGATGATAAATGATTTCTAGAATTAGCCAGTTTGATGCTTCTAATATTGCTATAACATCGCGCATTCCATTGACTGAGCAGTTCAATTAGGCCATAATGACTCGATAATACTTAGGTGGTTCTGTTATTTCCCAGTGGATCATTTTCTTGTTGCCAGATTGAAACTCTGTATGAGTTCTAGACTTTGATTTTCTTGAGTTCAGGAGTAGATGATGAGACATTCATTCATTCATAGCTGAAACTTTTAGTCTGTTTGATTGTTTGCTTACTAGATTGAGAGCTGATCATTTTCTTTAAACAATATGATGATGGTCAAGATGATGTTCATTAATACTCTGTTTTGCTCTGTTTTCTGATGAATATAATGGAGAAATGCATTGAAAGTCGAAAAGGATTATTGATTCAGATTGAAGACATAATTTGCAGCACTTGAAGGTTTCGAAACCCCATCAATCTAACTGCCGTTTTATGACGCATAAAGCATAATCAGATGTAATGTTCTTGAATAATTGGGGTGAACACAGCAATTTTTGCAACCAGAACAGTCCTTTGTAAATTTATTTTGTTTTAGTGCTGGATGATGAATGTTTTGAGATTCCACCTTCCATTATTATCAATTTCTGATCTGCAGCTGAAAATTTCACTGTTAATCATAAATGTTACTATACAAAAGCAAACACTATAAGATATTTTCCACAATCTTGTTCTATATTATTTGTGTTCTATATTACAAGATTGTTAAACCCTAAACCACAAAATTTAACAATCTTGTTCTATATTATTTGTGTACATTATTTGTCTTAAGAGTTTCAGAGCAAGTAACCCCACATTAAAGGGCTCAATGTATAATGGGATAAGTTTAAAAACTGCCCTTGAGGTTTCTGACAACTTCACTGGCCTCCCTCAAAATTTTAAAAATTTTAGAAACGTCCCTTGTCATAAAATTGTGGCCCAATGCTTATATCAAGCCTGGTGAAATGACTATAGTGGAGCTACAGCCTACAAGATATTTGGCAATTTTTAGAGCCTCCCTTGTCACAAAATAATGCTTATCTCAGGGCGATTAAATGACTGTAGTAGTCTTACTGGCTATAAGATATTTGGCAGCTAAGTGGATTTAATCAAGTAAATCTGTAATTAATTGAATATATACAAATAATCACAATTTAAAACTAAAAAAAAAAATTTCTAATTTGTCATGAGAAAAGGCAACAATTTCTAAATAATCACAATTTAGAACTACAAAAATGCAATATTTGTTCAAGCCTTTACTAAGGCTTGAATAGGTCATATTTTGTTATTTCAATTTGTGGTTGAAACTAGTCTTCTTACTATATTTTTAGTGATTGCACCCCAAATTCTTGAATCTAAACTCTTTGAAATTTACTCTCCAATTGTTCGTTGCTGTTGTTATATAAGTATTCACAAAAAAACCGTTACAAATAGTTGCAGAAGTCTGAAATTGATGCTTTGCATTTGCCAACATTTGTACTCATACCTCCTAATTATTTACTTTTACTAAATAATAATTTATGCTTTTATACTAGATTAATTAACTAATGTAACATATGAGGGGCATTTTTAAAATTATATTGTCTTCTCTCTCCTGAATCCAATTTTTTATTGTTTGTTTTTGCGAATTGGGCTTGACTTGTTACAAATTAACTTGTTTTAGGGGAGGTTTCTGAAATTTTTAAAACCTCAAGGGAGGCCAGTGCTACTATCATAAGTCTCAAAGGAGGTTTCTTATATACCTCTAACAAGGTTTTGACTGAAAATTTTTAGGAATAATTCCATAAACCTCCCCTGAGGTTCTTGCTAATATCACTTAGCATCCCTAAAGATTCAAAAATAATCACTGAATCTCCTTCAACCATATCTTTTGTAACAATATCACCTTAATATCATTAAAATATTGTTCAAATAATCATTTAAGGAAAGAGATCTATTTCTCTTTCAACTCTACTGCTTTGTGTTAGTTTATGTTGGATTTTCTACTAAATTGGTTTTGGGTTTTAAGTGCAACAATAATTATTAGAATATTATTTTATGTTATACATATTTTTTTTAGATTAGTTATGCCTACATAATTGTTAGAATAATGAAGGAAATTTTATATAATTTTGGTATCGGAAGTCTAAGAAAGTGGAGGAGATAGATGTTTGAATGCAGAAAAACTTGTTAGTATAACTTATTGTTTATGAATTTTGATTTACTATCTTCAAATGACGAGGATAATTTGATGCAAAGTTGACATAGGATGACAAAAAGTGGGGAGAAGGTTGTTTGAGTAAAAAGAATAGTTATTAAAATAGCCATCCCTTATCGATTTTGACTTTTTTCTTTTCCAATTTTTTTTTTTGCACAATTAATTGTTAGTATAGTAGGGATAAATTAATATAAGTTGGCATAAAATGACAGAAAGTAAGAGAAAGAGTGCTTAAGTGAAAAACTATAATTAGGATACCCATTATTTATGGAATTTGGTTTTTCTCTTCCATTTTTTTTTGTTCTTTTGCCTAAATAATTGATGTCGAAGCATAATCTAGGTGGAAAAGTTACATGAACAAGTTTCGACAAAAATCATTGATTTTAGGCAAATGAGAGAAAAATCTCTCAAGCAATTGCAATAACCAATATTGCCTGACAAAAGTTGAGTAGTAAATAATGAAAAAAAAAATGAAAAATGACTTAGGTTTTGCCTAATAATAGGCTACGAGGCTTGTTTGTTAAAAAAGGGGAAAATTTTCCGTAAAAACACTAAATAAAACTGAAGTCATGTTATAGGAGCGTTAACTAATTGGGATGGTTTAAGTGTAAAAAATTTGTTAAACAAAACCATTTTAGTTTAACAATTTCCATTTTTTCTCTTCCATATCCTTTTTTTTTGTCTAAAGAATTGTTAATGTAGTGACGATAATTTTATCAATTCATATGTTGCAAGGGTACGTGATTATGATGCCATCTCATTAACATGTACATAAGTGATTTTTTTAAAACTCTAGAGGTACTAATTAACTGATATTAGTGAAAATCTAGGGAGGCTTGTAAAGTTATAATGTACACATAAAAAGTTTCCCCATGTAATTTCGCATGCTACTACTATTACTACTAATCATCATCAAGGCCACAGCCTCATGTGGGAAAATGTGGCGCTCAGTCAATCAGAGCCGCATTTGTTTTCTAAAAAGAAGTTCAACCGTTTTAAGCGCCTAATTATTTGAGGTCCTTTTCCGCCAAAAGCCACAGCCTACACTCTAGAGTTCCTCGTATTCCCGGATTCGTGTCAGCGGATGCTTGTCAATGTCATTTTGCGACAAATTTCAGCTCAAACTTGAATTGGTCTAGTAGTTCTAAGCTGAATTGGTGAAGTTGCAAGAACAACTAAATTTAGCTGATATGAATAATTCCAAGAATACAGCTGAAATGGTGGAGGAAAAATTGGATTTGGTTCGAAGATATTTGCTGCAATCCTTGAAAGGGTTGGAGGCTAAAGAGAAGAAGCTGCAAGTAGTCCAAGAAATAGTGAGGAAAAGTTCAGAAAAGCTCAGTTTGATTCGAGAATCTATGCAACAGGAGGAGAAAACGTCTCATTTCTTGCTGAATAAAGGGCTTAAAGAATTGGAAATTAGAAGGGAGAAACTGGGGTTGATTCAAGAGAATGTAATGATTAGACTGGAGAAATTGAATGAGAAAGAGCTGTTGATAGAAGGGCTTTTTAAAAAAGTGGAACTGGAGGTGGAACAATTTCAGACCAATAAAAAATTGGTTGATGAATGTTTTGAGGAAATCCAGTTTGAAGAAAGGAGATTAGATGATGATATGAAAGAGCTGGAGTTGATTGAAAACCTGGTCGAGAGGACAGAAAATGGGATTCATCACGAGAAAGAGGGAATAAAAATCAAGGAAAAGGTTTTGGGCTTGAAGAAAGAGGAGCTTGTTGCTAAAGAGAATGAACTTGTAGCCAGGGAAAAGATTTTGGTCCTAAAGGAGGAGGAACTTTCAGCTAAAGAGAAAGAACTAGAAGCCAGAGAAAAGATTTTGAGTTTGATAAACGAACCTGATCTGGAAGACAGAGAGCTTGACTCTGTTCAAAAGTCGATAGAACAAGGCAGTAAGCAATGTGATTTAACAAATCCAGATCCATCAGAGGAAGAACAACTGGACCACAGAAGCAGGAAAAGGGAAGGTACAGACAAGAATGGAAGCTGCAAGAGTTCCAAGAGATGTCGTCCTCATGTTGATTTTGGAGGGAGCTTCAACAGCAAAGATGACAATGAAGTTGAACAAATTGCGGCAAAAGATATAAAACAGTCAGGTTTAGCTGATTCAAGATGCGATGATCATCATGAGTCAGTTGTAGATGCAACAAGTGATCATAAGGAGTCCGATTCAGAATCAGGCCCTTCAGAGTTTGCTCGTGAGGAAGACAACCAGATTTTGCCAGGACTAGGAGCGATTAAGGGGCCTTATACTAATGTTGAACAAATTGTGTGTCCAGGTCCAAACTATACTTCAAATTCCAATCCCATTGACTACTCAAAATGGTTGATCAATGATTTCAATGATGAGGACAAACTAAAAAGATTGGCTGCTGGACAAACATGGGCTACTTATGGGGAAATAGATGACTTACCAAGATCATATTTCCTGGTTGTAGATGTATTTGAATCTAGAGACTCTAGTCTTGCAAAGTTGCGCGTATTATGGCTTCAGCCTCTTCCAAATTATCGAGCTTGGAAGAAGGGTTGGAAGGAGTTTATGCATGCAAACTTGCCTGTTTGTCATCAGGGTTGGAAGGAGTGGATAGATGCCAGGTTACCTGTTGGTTGTGGGGTGTTTCAACGTGGGAAAGAACAGACTTTGTCATTGTCTCTTGATAGGCTTTCTGATCAAGTATGGTGCAAAGTTAAGCGTAGTTCTTACTTGATACATCCCAGTATAGGAGAAATTTGGGCCCTTTATAAGGACTGGGATATTGTCAGGTGGTCTTCGAGCCCTGAAAAACGAAGACAATGCAAGTATCAAATAGTTGAGGTTCTTGGCAGAAAATCTAAGGGCATTAGAGTTGCTTACTTGGACAAATTGGAAGGGTTTGTTAGTTTATTTCAGAGAAGAAGCCAGAGTGAGAAAGATTCATTCTTGATAGAGGACAAAGAGCTCTTCAGGTTCTCCCATAAAGTGCCATCTTGAAAGATGACCAGCAGTCAGAGACTAGGTGTGCCAGAGGAATCTTTTGAACTTGATCCTAAAGACCTTCCAGCAGATCTTTGTTGAGGTTTGCAACATTCAGGTATGGGAGTTTCGCTGTGTTTTTCTGACATTTTCCATTTACAATTTCAGTTATTCCCTTTGAGATCAATTCCTGTTGATTATTGGGTGATCTTGGCTAATTAATGCTTTCCACTTAATCTTTTAGCAGAACTCAGAGCTTCTGTCGTATGGCATGCATTTAAAACCAATCCTTTATTGCTGTTAAGTTGACCTATCCTTTATTTTCTTGTAAAGCTTTCAACATTTCCCGCCTTTTAAAGCTCTTGAAATTTCTGCGTGAAATATAGCTGTTTGTTCCGTTCACATGAATTGGAGCATTTTGCTTTAAGATATAACAAGTGATCCAGACTAATGGCTGATATCTGTTCTTTGGATCAAGTAGCCTTCAGGTTGGATTACCTACCGGGTATTTCTCAGCCAGTTTTGATCTTTGCCATCGTAATCGTTAAAGTGCCTCGCTGCAGGTGAAGAGGTTTTATCTGAAGTTACGAAGATCCAGAGGTTGTGCTAGCTAATGTTTTGTATCTCTGTTGGTCCAGAATGGTTATCCATGGGATAGCAATCATCTTAGTTATGAAAGGTTTTAGTATGATGGACAGTGATGTTATGTCCTTGACAAAGGTCTTGTAAAGTGATTTTTTTTCCCTTTTTTTTCAATGTCTGCTGCTTAAAAAGATCGAAAGTAAAACACCAGTCCAGGTTGTTTTTTTTTTTTTTTTCAATTGTCCTATCAGGTTATCATTCTTCAAATGCCTGAGTTTGCCAATATGCTACTTTAGTTAACAAGCTGGTGGCGCATTTTTCGAACTCAATACACTTGGTGTTGAAACTACTCTGATTTGGACTTAACTAATTACAATCATACATGTTCATATATCCAGGAATCAACTTTGCCTTTTATGCTCTAAATAGGTAACAGACAGAAAACTTTGCTTGAAAAATGACGAGTTAGGCTTGCTTGTGACTTGTAACTAGCAAGGACACCGCTGTGACAGATGAATTTTGATGTATTTTAAATTGAGTAAATCTTACATGATAGCGTATACATTATCACGGTTGGATGTATGACACATATACAAAATTTGAGTTTTAAATTCAAATTCTAATTATGTGTTATGCATTCAATAGTAAAAATATACTCCCTCCGTACCAAAATTTGGGACGTTTTTTGGGAAACGCACTTTTTATGTACAGTAACATTACGGGACAGGCTTATCTGACTCTTCCAAGCATACCCTTTGCTGTTTGTGGAGTGAAACAACAAACTGGTGGGACCACTTGCCATTAAGTCACTTTGACTAAAAGGCAAAGACAATCAGAAGGGTATAACTTCCGATGATGTGTTGTGGCCGGGTCCATCAGAATTGGTTAGTGCAATCTTGACTTGTCAATAGAAGGGTATAACTGAAAAATAATTGTAAAAGTGATTTGACTTTTTCAAAGTGACTCAAATTTTGGGACAAGCAAAAAGTAGAAATATGATATTAATAATGGGACGGAGGGAGTATACACTTTTAGTGTACAAAAGATTAATTCTTTTAAATTAGCAACTCAAAATCTGAGTACTAAGTACTGAATGAATTCATGTTTCATGCACTGGACTTGATTTGAGGCACTTTAACTTGAATCCGGCCCATTAATTGCTACTATGAGAGTCCAGGGGCGGAGCTATCAGCTGTGTCCATGAGGTGGGCAAATTTCCCCTCAAAGTTTGGAAAACTTCTTTGGTACCCATAAATAATTTTAGTCTTGTTTCAAACCAATTATGAGTTTGTTGTTTGCACTCCTCAAACTCAAACTACAAAAAGATTATATTGCACTCCCTCAAACAAAAAAGTGAGGGGGCAATCATTGAAAGTTAGAGCAATTGAGGCCCAATGTATCATGAGAAAGAAGTTAAGAGAAAATAACAATGACCAAAACAAAGTAATAGAGGTATAAAACATCAACCTACAATAGTGGATTGGGAGCGCAATAATGAAGAAATGTATAGTGGATTGGGAGCAATATAATTAATGTCTTTAAGAATGAAAGAAGCTAATTATGTGAAATGAAGAAAATAAACGAGAAAAAAAATTTGACAAAGGAAAGATGTTGAACGCAAAAATAAAAGAGTTTTTTTACTTAAATTTAAATTGGACTTTTTTTTTCATTGAAATTTGTAAGGGATACAAACGGAAGGGAATTTATAAAACATTCCTAGGAAAAAAAAACTTTGCTTCAAAGCGGAATTGGGCTATTGATAAAATTTGATTCGCTATCCAGCCAAATTTAAGCCCATCGTCAGTTCATCACCAGATTTGGAAAGGGTAAATTACAAATAACTCCTATGGTTTCATCTATTGCCAAAGACTTCATATAAAGTGAAAATTTGAAGGAAAATAACCTATGCAATGTCATTAATTGTAATACCAACGCTGCCCTTATTTGAATACTAAATCAAATAATGACTTAATCACCTTATATAAAATCACAAGAAGATTACATGGATAAATACAAAAATCACGTAATAGTAAAGTAGATATTTATGCAAACCATCCAAGGGTTAAGAAGATATTATGATTTCATCACAGGTAATTTTGAAATGTACCTCATATAATTGCTGATTGTATCTTCCGTCCATTATCCCCTTTACATAAAACTACAGGTGTTATATAACCATTTTAAAATGTTATGGTAGTCATCTAACATGATATAAAACCACATGGGAGTTATCTGTAATTTACCCATTTGTAAATGATATCTCCGTCGAAAATTTTATTTTCCGTCAATAATGGTGACAAGAGCCCCGGAATTCCAAAGGCGGAACTTTCACTTTGCTTGGCTTGGCAAGAAGTCAAATGCGACACTACATTGACTGCTTTGTTTTCTTTTTAGTTTTATTTTTCTGATAATGTTGACCGCTTTGTGTTTTTTTTTTTTAATCAAAGTCTTTGTCAACGATCAATTCTGCCTATTGTAATGTACTCTGCCCCTTTGAATAATGAAATTGACATCTAACGTTTTCTTCTGTACCACATAGATAAAGAAAGGGAGCGTCAATTCTCTCTATATTTCTTTTAAATTTTACGATTTAGGAGAAAGGAAGATTTGAACTCATAATTTTTAAAATTGGATAAATTATACCCCTCTGTGATTTAGTAATTTTGTACATAATTCCCCTATAGTTTTAAAAGTTATACATAACCCTCTTGTAGTTTGGATTAAAGTGTCAAAATGACAGAATTTGCAATCCATAATGGAATCAATTAAAATATCAATAATACTCCTATATAAAGTTGAAAATTATTTATTAACCACAGGTGGTTATGTATATATATTAGTAACCATAAGGGGGTTCTATGATAAATCATTAAATCATAAGGGGATTATATGACAAAATATAAAACTATATGGGGTTAGAGTGTCATGCATATTATGTTTATATATTTTGGTCACTTCAGCTCTTTTAGTTTTTAAACAAGGGTAATTTCGATATTGTGATATGTTTCGTTACGGATGATCATTTTTGTCATTTGATACTTTAATCTAAATTATGAGGGGGTTATATATAGTTTTTAAAACTATAGGAGGGTTATGTAAAAATTAACTATATCACAAGGGGGTAAAGTGTAATTTGCCCTTTAAAATTTGAAATTTCAACCTTAATCATTACGTGGTAATTTGCCTTCGAATTTGAGGATTATGTCTATCATGCAACGCAAAAATGCTTGTTTGGGTTAGTAATTAATAGATTTTCATTGATTATACCCTGTTTGTGGCCTACTTAAAACTTAAATGACACCAAATAGTACTGATACGATGTCCAAAAGCATTTTTCCTTTCCATAACCAAGTCCCAATACATGGTTGATTCTCCTTATACTCTGGCCTTGGAGTACTTATGGATTCATTTATTTGATAGAAAGTAGAAACACCTGAAATTCTATCACTTACAAGTTACAATCCAATGGTAGTATTTTCTTTCGTTTTTCTTGAAAGGCCAAATAGTATTGTGTTTCGTTTCCATATGGATAAAAGAAAGGCAAACGTAGCTCTATATTGAATTATATTGACCATTAGCATGCTTCAGTCTTATTCAAAGGAAACACTTTAACATCAATTTGTATCATTTTCCAAGGATGACTAAAAGACAACCTAATATTCAGAGTTTGAACATTGACGCCAAATTTGTACCTCAATTTCCTCTTCCACCGGCACACTAATTCAATATTTAGATCGTTTACTAGTAAACATCAAGAAAAATGGACCTTTTTTTTTTTTTTTTTTTTTAAATATCGGCCGAAACTTCCTAGCACTGTAACAATCCATGTGTATTGTGTAGTTACTAAACCAATCCTCCCATGAAACTTCAATCGAACTTGAACCAGAATAGTAAAAAATAAAAAAAGGCAGTCTATAATGAAGATGACCAAGAAATATAGAATTGGGCTTAACCTGGCTAATTCGTGTATCCAACTCTGCTTAATTGCAGTATTTGTTGTCCTTGCAAGTCTAACAATCCCATCGGATTGTTTCCATCATGATGACCAATATCCCAAAACCATTGCTGGCCTCTTCGTCTTCGGTGATTCACTCATTGATCCTGGAAATAACAACTACATCAACACAAGTAGAGATGCCCAGGCCAACTTTCCGCCATATGGAGTATCTTTCTTCAAATATCCGTCAGGGAGATTTTGCGATGGCCGTGTTATTCCTGATTTTATTGGTAAGTATATAGGAGCTAGCCTAAAATTCAACAAATATGCACTTAATTATGCATGAATAACAGGCTTACTTTGCTGTAACGACAATTTGCAGCTGAATACGCAAAGCTCCCTTTCATTCCACCTTATCTCCAAATTGGTTACCGGTATCAGTTGGCTTATGGCGCAAATTTTGCATCTGGTGGCGCTGGTGCTCTAGTTGAACCCTTTT